GACATATTTAATGTCTCATCTGGATTAATCTCTCCTTTCTCGGGAAACTTGTTTGCGATGTGCTGCAGCTGTGGCACGCAAAGCAGGAGCCTTGTCAGGGATGCTCGGGAGAAGCCGTCCCCAATCAAGCCAGTGGCGTTTGTGCTGGGAAATTAAAGGTGGCTGAATGTGAGGCTGACCCCATCACCTTCTCTTGTGTCACCAGCTGCAAAAACTTGTGTATGTTGAGCAAGCTAGTCCAATAGGGTGTCTGTGGTTGGGTGCACGCTTTCATCCATAGCTTTTAAAGCTGATTTTAGCCAAACTGAAAAGAGTTAGCTGGAGGGGTTTCAAAGATAATGACACTGCTGCCTTTCCCGAGAGAGACTGTACATGCTCCAGCTATGGGAAAAGCTGCAGCATGAGCCTAAGCTTTATGAGATACCTGAGCATACATGGGAGCTCAGGGCAGCTGCCCCCACTGCAGGAAAAACTTCTTTTGGGAGCTTCTATGTTTTCAGACATTCAAATCAATCAATGCCAGGACATAAACGCATGGCAAATTGGCCTCTGTTAGTTCTAGGTCTCATTACTTGATTTTGCTATGACAGCTCCCAGTCTTCCGGCACTGAGACATCTGCTTTATCTTTCCAGCTCTGATTCTTGGCTCCCACATGACTTTGCAACAGAATTAAATGACCCAAAACTGTTTAATGAGATAAAATAAGAGTCTGTGGTGCTTTAATGATGGTAAAGGGTTCAAAAACTCTTTGCATGAAACATTTTTAAACTCTAGTATGTGTAAGGTACATTTTTTATGTCACATGCTATCACTCATTCTTACTGTTTTTTTAGAAGCACTTGTTTGAACTAAGTGGAACTCACACTTCTATCAGTTTAAGTTTTTCCGAGGGCAGACCAACTGTATGCCAAAAAGCTGACATTCAAAGAGGTATATATAGAAATGAGTTAGGCTATGAAGTCCAGAGGGAAGAAATTTTTCTTTGACTTTTAATATTCAGTTTACTTATTATTTGCATCCAGAAAAGGATGGTCACTTCTTTTGGTTCCCTCTCAAACCCTTCCGTTTCGTGGCATTACTGTATATAAAGTTAACTGGCATTTAATATCTGCGAAGTTGCTGTGACAAGCATGATGAAAGTAGAAAGCGCAAAGAGCTTCTGTTCCCTCCCAGCCGCAGCTGTGAATTCCTAGCGCCTGCTCTGCAACCAGCAATGTTTGAAAGTGGAAGCGAACGAACCTACGACTTGCCGCAGCTCTCGGCCGTGGAGACGGACCTCTGTGGCTGAGATGTGGCGCTGGCGCGGGTGATGCTCCTTAGAGGTGCACGGAGAAAACGAACCTCCTTGCATTTTACTGCTGTTTTCCTCTACAGGCGTACACAGAGACAAGTTTTATTTTTAGTTGGTTACATTTGTTTGCTCTGCTTAAAAATAACCAAAAAGACATTAAATTCCAATTAAAAAGATTCTTTCAGTGTTTAGCTCTGTAGTATCGACTCTGGAATGAAACACTCCTACACTCCCACTTCCTGGACTGTGTGCTCTAACATAAAATACATGGAAAACTCCTTTCGCGCTTAAAAATCTAGTCATTCTAGTTCAAGGATAGCCAACATTCAACCAGAACAGTTTTGTGGCACTGTTTGGTTGCTGACCATTTTTTTCACCTCTGTGATGTCTGAGATACTTATATGAATGTCAACATCAGCCAAACCCTCTGTAATTTGAATCATCCTGAGAATCTCGATAGCAAGCCGCGGTAGTACAGTATCTGGCTTAGTTTTTTTGCCAGGCTTGATGAGCCTGCCTTCTGCTGGGAGAACGCAGACTTCTGGTGAGACTCGGTGAAGTGAATGCAAACTGGGTTAGACAGTGAACAGATGAGCTGCGTTCATATTATTTTATTTTGCTTAGAGGCTTTGAGTCGAGCTCTTTGAGCCTGCAGTTTAGCTTAACGTGACATATTTTCACTCATATACATATAAAACAGGAAGGACGTTCAGATAACATCAACAGCCACTTCCTTATATGTACAAAAATAAAGTGCTCTGACAGCAGCAAAACTGACACTTCGATTTTAAAAAGGATAGTAACCTAGCATTTATAGACCCACATGGGCATTGCACTGAGCCAATCAGGAGCACAGAGGAAAAAATTTAAAAACAAACCTCATACATTGTAGTCTGAACATCTGTGCATGAGCAGAAGGCTGGAGGAAGCCAGGAGCACTGACTGCAGATCTTCATAGCAAGAAGCAATGTTCATGGAGCAGCTTTGTGCAATTCCACTGGAAGGTAAGATGAAGTCGCTTCAGCAGGCAGCTGCTGCAGATTTGTGCTTTAAGGGATGGAATGGGCGCTGCTTTGGATTGGGTTCTTCTGTGACGATGAGAGGTGAGACGGAGATCTTTTCTTTGGCCTTGAAATGAAACAGCTACTAAACGTTGTCTTTTGAGTTTGACAATAAAAACAAAGCCTTTCTGGATACAGCACAGTATTTGTAAAGGGATACTGCCAAGACGGCTATAGACTTGGATTCTATGATGTGTGAATCATCCCCAAACCTTAACGTGTAAATGCCTCAATTCCAGATGGTTTCACTAATGTCTTGTAGGGCAACTTGTGAGTAGTTCGTAATGCACTCCGTGAACATGGGATGCAGCTGCTCAGCGTTGCTGTCTGCGTGCACAGCTTGTTTGTACATCCAGGATTGTTTCTGAGCTCAAGTTTACTAATATAAGCTGTGCTTATGGTGTCTGGAAGTATGTAGAACTTAATCTTGTTTCTGTAGTCGGTTGCAGAACTTCAGTTGACTTAAATGGAATCACCATCAGTGCGTAAACCTGGCTTTGCAAGCTGATACAAATGAGCAAAAGATACTGGTTCCTGCGTAGACCTGCCTAAACTTTCATGGCTTCTAACAGGAAATTTGGCTGTAGAAATTAGATTTTTATATAATTTCTGACATTTTTCATGTCCCTGGTGTACCTTTTCTAATCAGAGTCATCCTGAAAGAGAAGGATCTTACTTCTATAAACTGACACCTTTTGTAAGAGTCATAGTAAGGTCTAGGTAGTAAAGTGAACTTTAAGGATAAAGGGGGAAATAAACTGGACATGATAACTGCAAATCAGTCTTTCCAGAAGTGTTTTTCTAGCAGGCACTCTGGTAATAAATATTTGTAACACTTTTAATTGTAGGTGCCTTAAAAATCTCCCAAATATTGGGTAGTGTGCACTATCATCAAGCCTATAAACTTTGGAGGATCTCTGTGCTTGCTTCTGAGTTGCTCTTCACAGAGAGTTGTTGGCTTCTCCTGATAAGAGCAAAAGAAGAGCCACCAAAGACACTCTTCCCTGGCTCATTCAGGGTGTTTTGGACCAGATGAGCACGCACAGACGTCATTGCACCGTTCATAGGTCTTCCTCCTCCACTGGCTGATTATCAGCCTGCCTTGCATTTTAGTACAACACATGTATACTGGTGGGTCCCTCATGGCATCTAGGAGGTCAGAAAGTCTGTCAGCCAAATTAGTGTCAGCCAAAAGTGAAGAGTAACTATATTACTTCTGCCTAAATTTCATTTACAGAAAACAGATTAGAGCATTCTAGTAAGGTTAAAATAAATATTTTGCCATGAACTCCTCTTAAAGAGTACAGTGAGCAGAAATACCTGGAGTAATTAAGCTTCTACACAGTGTTCACTGCAAATGGTAATAGTTAAGAAAATAGGAACTAGAATAAATAAACACTAAAAACCATACCTGAGATTTTATGCATTAACCTTTAGTGTAGAGGAAAATTTTGGAGTCTTGATGCACAGAAATACCACTTCGTAGCTGATGGGCTTGACCTGCTTTTACTCTATGAGCTTTGCTTTGGTGATTCTTCTTGGTTTCTGTAATTACCCCAATGGCCTGATCACGGCACGGGCTTCAGAAAGGGCTTCGCTAGCGCGTGCTTGTAACAGCAGCAAACAAACAAACAAAAAAAACCAAAAAAAGCTATTTGGTTTATATAATTTTGGTTCTTCCTGTTAAAGATTTGGTAGAAATACCAACACTTCTAAATGTAGACAGTTCCTGCTTGCACTCGTGACTGGCTAGGAAACCACATCCCAAGTATCACATTAGGCAAGTTACCAAGTAAACCAGCAAACACAGAGTCAAAAATGTCCCCCCCGCCCCCAATATTTAGGTTAGTCTATCTTTTATTTAGGTTAGTGTATCATAGTATCCAGGTTTTGAGTGATCTGTAGTTTTTCATAATCTGCTAGAAAACATAATGAAAGCTTATTTTGTAGCAGGAAAATTTTAGGACATTTTTTAAATCTGTGCTAGGAAGCTGAGTGAGAGATGATTGTTAGGGTGTGATTACAGGCACTGTTATGTGGCTTCAAGTTTGGAAGGCATTTGGGGTATTTAGAAAGATAGGATACAAATCTAAAATTTATAGTCGATTTTCTGCATGAATTTCTCGTGAATGCAGGGGAGTGATTCAAATGAGCAGGGGTTGCTGTTGATCGAAGGATCAGATTGTAAGGGGGCAAACATAGGTGGAAAGCGGAACAGTATTTAAGTGTGCATTAGCGTTTTAAATTTTGTCTATTTTTAATTTTCTTACATAGTCATTCTGTAAAATGAATCAGATTTTATTGTGTGTCATTTGTAAGGCCGGTGCATAGAGACTGCTGTAAAATTGCTAGTCTGACTTCAGGGGTGTGTGGTGGGTTGGTTTGTTGTTTTCCTTCTGGGATTACAAAAACCATAAGATTTATTGAAGAAAATACTGAGATCAATTTTCTGCAGGACACTCTCAGTCTCTGCCCCCGGAGTGATGTTTTGTGGCCGTTTCCCAGCATTTTAAGACATTCTTAGCTGGAGAACGTTGCCTGCCTGGACCGTGCTCAGAGCCCGCGCGGGGCTTCGCTCTGCTGATCTCTGTGTCGAGCTCCCGCTCGATGTAGGGCTCATCCCATCTCAAAATCCTGTTCTGTAAGGAAAACAGGCAGCCAGAAAGTGCAGTTACTGATCTGTTACATATCTGAATGAGCGTCAGTGGCCTCCTACTGGGACCTGGTTTGGGAGCAAAGCCTTGGGTGTCACTCCCGCTTCTTGTCCCCCACTGATGGGGAGCAGCTGTCCTGAGGTCTCCTTAAACCTGCCCGTAAGCTAGACGTCTCTGAGATGCTGCCAGGCCTGGAAATGTTTCCGCTACAATACAGGGAAACATGATGAGCGGTGCGTGGCGCTGCGGGCGGCCAGCCCGTCCCCTGGGCTGCTGTAACGCCCGCTCACCGCCGAGGCCGATGGCCTGATGAAGTTGGGGGGGGGGGTGGTCCCAGCCAACGGGCTGGTGTTTGAGACCAAGGAGGAATTGAAACCTGTTGCGTATGGCTGCAGCTGCTTAGGGTGATCAGAAAAGCAGTAAAAGCGGCTCTGTCCCAGCCTTTCGCTTTGCTCTTCTGGCGTATTCCCGTTCTGGGCAGCAGAGCTCCCTGGTGCTTCCTGTAACTAGAGGCTTAACGTCCATCGCGTCGGTCAACAGAAGCACTGAACTTCATTCTGCTTTTCCAACTATGAAATGTGTGCCAGGTGCCTTTCCTGTCTAGAAGAAAAGCATATTTCAAGCTGTTCTATGACCTACTGCTCTTCTAAGCTCTCTATTATCAGAGAAAGGGAGTAGGAACTTGGAAAGCAGTAGGGAAGCCAGACAGTGGTACGTACCCGGCTCTCCCCTTCCTTGCCGAGTCATCAGAGCGAGTTGAGGACCTCTCCCTGAAAACACATGGCAGGGACCCTTACTTTCTCGAGACCGACGGCCTGAAAGGGCCGTGGCCTCTCGGCCCGTAGTGCCTGGAGGTGGAGCGCTTGGCACCTGACCGCCGGAGCTGCTGGTGGGGGATCCGCTTCCTTCATCAAAGCAAAATACAGGGTCAGGAGATGTTTGAGCTCAGGAGATGTCTGAGCTCTCTGTATGTGACACTGTTGTGGAGCAAAGGCTGATGTTTCACCAGCATGATGGGATCTTCTCTAACCTCTCTCCATCCATCCATCCTTTTTTTCCATATGCATTAAAGCTAGAACTTGTTGTTCTGTATTGAACAGTTTTTGTTTTTTTTTAAACCATGCGTAGCTCTTTGGAGTGACCACAATACTGAGGTTGTGTGTTCTCTAAATACGCATACAGAAGAAACCTTGCTAGGATGGTGTCTTCTGAAGGCAGAAATCATCCTCAGGACTAGCAGTCTGACCACTCAAGGTCGTTGGTCCTCTTAAAAGTGAAAAATCCACCTCAGTCTCTTGAAACTCCGTGGGCTTAAGAAACACCAAGATTGAGTCAGAGAAAAGAGCCTAGAAAAGCCTAGTATCCTGTCCCTGGCATTGAGCGACAAGTTACCCAGAGGGAAAATGCAGGAGGAGTACAAGAACGTAACAAGTATGGATTTTCCCATCACGCAGCAATGAGCAGCTCAGGGACTCAGAGAGGCTGTCTTGTTCCTTAATACCCATCCATGGAGTGGTCCTATGCCTTGTTGAACTGGGGTAAAATTTTACTGTTGGCAGTGTCCTGCAGTAAGGATATCCTCCGCTTAACATGCTGGGCAAAGGAAAACCTCCTTCTGCTGGTTTGATTTTCTTTATCCTAGCGTCTTCTAAATTCATGGCACACTCCCCAGCTCTTGTGTTTGGGTAGGTGTGCTCTGTTCCCTTTGTTCATGCTAGCCATGATTTTACAGACCGTCATCAGAGCCCTTGTCAGTCATCTCTTCCAGGCTGAATATACCTTGCTTCTTACCATTGCTCAGCTCCATGACCATCCCATCCTGGTGCTTGTCTAGTTTATCTTGTTCTGTTAGACAGGAGCCAAAACAGCACACAGTGCTCAAGACATCCATGCATGTATGGCTTTTTATTTTCTGTTCTGTATTTATTTCCGGGTAGTTCCAGTCATTCCACTTGCTTTTAACCACTGTTGACCTGAGGCTTTTGTAGAAGTGTTGATACCGTGAGAACGTTTCTCCATGGTGATTATCAGGCCTCCTATACAAGTTTTTAGTCAGCCCTTGTGTTTTTCTGTGAATAGCTTAGTACCACGAGCAAACCCTGGCACTTCACTGTTTGCCTGTTTTTCCCGACAGCTTATGAATATGATACTTGAATGTCTTGAAAACCTCATGCTATTCTTTGCCATCCGATGCGTTTGCACAGTGTGCATGGGTAATGCTTGACCCTGCCGAAGGCAGCAGCTGGGCGTGAGGGCTTGGAGCCAGGCAGGCTGCCCATGACGTCTGCG